AGATGAAGGAAGTTTTGAAGAACATAAAAGAGGAAAAGTCCGAAACACGGAGTACCCTATGGCTTACAAGTCTGTCAGAAAAAAAATGAAAGTCCTCGGAAGTTTCGGCTGCGAATTGGAATAACAGGAATTTGGAATAAAGCCATGGCAAGCGACTATGCTTTCAAAGCTCCAAATTTTAGCTTTCAGAAGCTGTGCAGTCCTTTTGACTGGAGAGCACAGAGCAAACAGAACTAGAGCCGCTCTCTCATACGGTTCGAGTATTTGATTCCGCCAGACACACTCATTCGTTTCGATGGTAAATTGGTACAAGCACATATCAGCGAGTCAAAACCGCCCCTGCCCATGTACATGCGCTGTAAGCATCAATCATAGGCCTTAAACAAAAGAGCATCAGCAGTTTAATGCTGTTCAAAATGCAAAACATATGAAACTTACAATGAGAGAATCATCGACATCGAAAAAATGGCAATGAATGAGGCCAGAGAGTGTCGTCGCTGCGGCTTCACGCACTTCAATTTGCGGATCCAAAATCAGCGAATTCAGAATTTTATGCAGTGCCGGACGATGGTGCAGAAAAACGAAGAAATTCGAAAATACAGCCGCTTGCAAATACTTCAGTAGCGAAACTTTTGGTTTCCACCATGAAGCAGCCGAAGACGCCAACTGTAAAAAATGTTGCATGCATTTGTTTTAGGATTTTGACATAAACGGACGAATAAGATATTGCTTTTCAGTAATTTGTTATGCGTTCAAACAGCTGCAAAACACAACTGATATCATCCAGCCAGCAGTGTAACCTTACCGCGGCCGATAAGAGGCAATGTTCAGGGCAATGATGCTCACCACATGAACGATATCTCGAAACGACTAACTTTTGCAAAGTGGTTTCACAGGAACAACCGTTGAGCCGGTAAACGTTTCAGGAAACGCAAGCAGAGGCTGTCTGCAGCCTGGCTACCAGGCAATGCAGCAATAGCCAGATTTGCTGTGGAAGTACTAAATGTGATAGCTGCATAGATGGAGAGCACAGTACAAATAATAAATGTCTCAACACATCATATAAATAAGTGAATAAACTACACCAACAAAAGTGGACGCTTTAATTGGAAAGTCAAATGTACGTTTCTTGAAAAAGTTAACTGCTCCATCAGTGAAAAATTTCGAGCGTCTTGCAAAAGCGATATCTAAAATGACCCAAAAACGTCAAACGTAAAAAATTTGGCTAAATGATTTTTTAGTGACATTATTATGGTTTTTCATAAATGTTTGGTCCAAAAAAGTGTGAGTCCCTAATTGCAAAATTACGCAGCAATACGAGTACAGGTAACCCGTCAAAACAATCGTTTCGCGCTCACGTATAAACTGAATGTGTGTGACGTGTACTGTTCGACCATGAAAAGAACAATGCAT